CACTCACCTGTGGCGTCCCCCAAGGCACCAAGATGGGACCACTCTGCTTCCTTATGCTTATCAATGATGCCCTAAGAGAAACCCCTGCTCGCTGGAAATATGTCGACGACTCCACCATTGGGATCAGCGTCAACGATTCTGCTCCCGACTATACCGCCCTTCAGGATTTATTGAACAGTCTCCAAAACTGGGCCACCAACAACCACGTCACCATCAACCATACCAAGACCATGGTTATGCACATCAACCTCTCCTCCCACATTGCCCCATCCCCTTCCATTACTTTAGGTCCGAACACACTCCAGGTTGTAGATTCCACGAAGCTCCTCGGCGTCACCATAGACAACAAACTAAATTGGAAACCACACGTCAGTGAAGTTGTCAAATCCTCCAGTTTCCGTCTCCACCTCCTCCGCCGACTCAAGTCCCGCGGAGTTCCTGCACCCGAGGTCCTCAGTGTTTACTCAACATTCATACTTCCCAAGCTCACCTATGCCTCCCCTACCTGGTCTTCCTCCCTAAATGCCACACAACGTATACACCTAGAAAAAGTGCAAAAGAGGGCATGCAAGATTATTCTCTCCCCTTCCTACTCCACATATCAAGAAGCGCTCAACACACTGACCCTTTCGACTCTCACTGACCATCACCACGACCTCATCTGCAAATTTGGTAAAAAGTTTCTACACCATCCTCGACACCGTCTCCTACTACCACCTGAGATCCCTAGACCGAGAATTGCTGTTCGACACCACAACCGCATCCAGCCCATACGTGCACGAACTGATCGCTAAAAGAACAGCCCAGTCCCAACCATTGTAAAAATTATCAATAACTTGTAATAAACCAGTGTATTCACTCCTAGTAAATACTACTTCTTGCACTGTCACTACGTTGAAATGTCCTGTAGTTTGAGCTTTTCCCCATCTAGTTATTATATATCTTATTTGTATCACTTACGTTATTTGTATATTATTTATAAATCGAAACCCATTCCCCAATTATGTAACTGTATATTTTCAGCCTTCTGGCTGCCAAGCTCTTTCAATAAGCCGTTAATTATTATTATTATTTATTTTTATTATCACACACACACACACACACACACACACACACACACACAAAATGCAACAACTGAAGTAGGCCAACATCAGTCAGTAGTATGGTAAGCATAAGGAACTCTGTGGAGTCGACAATAAGACACACCTCCTCCCCTTCCTTAGCCATCTCACTAATGGTGACGCAGCTGAGTGTAAGGGCAGAAACGATCCTCCGGCTAGTTACCGCTGCTAACTCGCTCGTTTGCTGGTGCAGACGACACTTGGGGTGGTTGGACGGAGGTGATAACGGCAGCGACTATCTCCGCCACGAGCAGATTCAACCCAGCCGCCATACCGTCAGTATCTAGCTACCCCGCTGTCCGTCAAATTCTGGCTGTGATCTCATCATAGGTCCTGGACTCGTGGGCTGTGTTCCCAGACCTTCACCTATCAACTGCCAACTCTCTGGTCATCTACCACTACCGCATACCACGACCATCAGTTCATCACATTCCGTCGGTGCCCCGGTGTTCTCCTGCCTTTTCAAGACGTTGCTGAGTGTGGAGCGAAGTGGACGCTTCCCTGCCCTGAGTGTGCATCACCGCGTTCCAGAACCTTCCCCCAGGGCCACTGCCGTAGGAAATATTTGTTCATTGTTTGATTCCATTAATTGCTGACTCCCCTTTATTGTTCGATTCTATCAATTGTTGACTCCATTTAATTGTTTGATTCCATTAATTGCTGACTCCCCTTTATTGTTCGATTCTATTATTTGTTTGATTCCTTTAAGTGTTTGCTTCCTTTAATTGTTTGACTCCCGTAATTATTTGATGTTTGTTGAGTGGTGTCAGAGTTTTGTTATATTTTTATAGTAAAGAGATGCCAATCTCTAACGGTTGTTTGTTATTCCTCGGAAAACCATGGTCCTTGACTTTCCTATATTAAGATCCTGATTAGCCTGGTAAGGGATTTCTATCCCTAAGTCCCAGGCCTTTACACTGAGCAATCAAACAACCATTTCGCAACTATATGCCAGACGTTCTCCTGGCTTGACACAACCAGTCTCCCTGCTTACCTACCAGACCCCTTTCCCAATGACTTAGTCGAAGAATTTGAAAGGGCGAAACGTTCAGACAAACTGAAGTTAAAGCGCCCCACCACCCCTATTGACTTTCCAATGAAACTCTACAAGGAGTTTTCCCCGGAACTAGCAAAACCCCTCTGCTTCATCATCAATTCCTTCTTCAGTCAAGCTAGATGCCCAGCTGACTGGAAGACATCGTAGGTGTCACCAGTGACAAAGTCAACGAGCCCATAAATATAAACGAGCTACGACCCAATAACCAGCTTAATCTTCGAAAGTTTCTTTTTGACTGGGCCTATGCTGAAACTGCAGGCGCTATAGATCCTCAGCAATTTGGCAAAATGAAAACTTCATTCCACCACTCACTGTTTTGTCACCTATCTTGACTTCATATACCGCCATCTGCAAAAACGAAAGTCGTCTGTGGCTGTCGCCTTCACTTACTTCACCAAGCCATTTGACCTAGTCGACCACAATTTAATCATCAACAAAGCTATCTACCTTGGTTTCGGAGAAGTCCTATATCATAGCATACAGATTTCCTTAATGACCGACGCCAAGTCGTACATTTCCGAGGGGCTGTCTCCACTTTTCAGTCACTCACTAGTGGCGTCCTCCAAGGCAACAAGATGTGCTTCCTCATGCTTATCAATGATGCCCTAAGAGAAAGTTCCGCTCGTTGGAAATATGTCGACGACTCCACCATTGGGATCAGTGTGAACAACTCGTCTCCCGACTACACCGCCCTGCAGAACATACTGAACAGACTCTAAAATTGGGCCACCAACAACCATGTCGCCATCAACTATACCAAGGCCATGGCTATGCACATTAACCTCTCCTCCGACCTTGCCCTGTTCCCTTCATTACATTGGGCCACAACACATTCCAGGTTGTGGAATCCACTAAGCTCCTTGGCGCCACTAGAGATAACAAACTAAAATGGAAAACATACATCAGTACAATTGTCAAATCCTCGTTTTCGTCTCCACCTCATCTGCCGTTAAGGCCCTCGGAGTTCCCGCACCCGAGCTCCTCAGTGCTTACTCAATATTCGTACTTCCCAAGCTCACCTATACCTCCGCTGCTTGGTCTTCTTCCCTAAATACCACACAACAGAAACACCTAGAAAAGGTGCAGAAGAGGGCGCACAAGATTATTATCTCTCCTTCCGACTATACATATCAAGAAGCGCTCAACACACTTACCCTCTCGGCTCTCTCTGATCACCACCATGACCTCTGTAGTGTATTGGGGGAGGACTGTGGGAGAGGAAAAGCAGTGTTAACTTGTGGGCTTCCACCGGCAGAGTCCTGTTTATTAGTCCTGGGCAGATTATTGCGGTTCACGCCATCATTGGGGCACCTACTAACCCAAATGAGCTCGAAACAGTAACAAATCCCAGGTTTATTACAACCCGAGTTCGAAACAGTTGCCGAGCGCCACGACACTACAACTTCACCTGCACATTCGAGGAGTAGCTTCTGCTGCCAAACAGTTTCAATAAACCTTTAAATAATAAAAATAAAAATAATAAAAAATGTTAGTATTATTAATATTTCTCATGGTTTTAGGTGTCTCGGTGGTATATGAGTTGATTATATTATATAAAGATAATATTAATACGTCGTATTTCTTATTTCTTACCGTAGAGTTCGATACCTTCACACTGGTTACTTACAAGAGATTATGGCGTATCTACGTAGAAGTTCACTCCACCACTCGATATTCCATGATTTATACTTGATAAATGATGATTTAATGAATTCATTTAATTTTCAACATCCATCTAAGTTATTGGTTATACTTTGTCATAACCAATCAGTCATTACCTTTAATAATAATAAGATAGGATCACAGATACGGGCAGATAATTGCACTTACATTTATTTGTCAAGCTTCCATACAATGATTTACAATTTGCATGGATATATGATTCACTCACGTTCATGCTGTAATAAAATTAATCTTCTAAAACAGGGAATTTCCAACTTGGGGACACATGTGATTACACTACTGTGGGTATGACTTAACAGAGCCTTAATTCTTCAAGTGATACATTTACTGCCAGCCTGGATTGCTTTTGTTACAACCAGGCTTCATCACAAGAACTTCTTTCCACGGCCATAACAACAAAAAGTACTCTTGGGTTACCACACATAGTCTCCAGTCACTGACAGTCACTGTAGACGGTTGTCGCAGCAGCGAGAACTGGTAAGCATGACTTGAATTAACCATTTAGGTGCAATAGGCCAGCCTGGATTGCTTTTGTCGCAACCAGGCAACCACACGTGATATTTCCACGGGGATAACAAACCTAGGTTAACACACTTAGTCTCGTGTCGATCACGGTCACTGTAGATGGGTGTCGTGCAGGAGAACACTGTAAGCGTGAATTAATTAACCATTTACTGTAGGTTTGATAGGCCAGCCTGGATTGCTTTTGTTGCAACCAGGCATCCACACGTGATATTTCCACGGGGATAACAACCTAGGTTAACACACTTAGTCTAGTGTCGATCATGGTCCACAGGACGGAGTGGCGGTGGAGGACTCTGTGTGGTGTGGTGTCCCGCTCCGTTTCAGGAGGGAGAGGATGGGAACGACTTCTTAACTAACCCATGGCTCAGGGGATACTACTTAAAATGAGGTTTTTGGGTGTGAAGCGATGAACATTACAACACTGTTTCACTGCCCACCCCCCTAAAGGCTGGCTAACATAGACTAATTGAAATACATGTCCCAGTTATGCCTCGCCGGGTGTCTTATCTCTAGTAAAACAAACTTTGGAGTTGGTTGCGAGGGTAAGCCTAACGCAACCCATGACAATATTATTATTAGTATTATTATTACTAAGGAGGATTAACACGACCATGGCATTACCTAGTTATATTCACAACAAAGCAATAATTATTGTCTCCCTGCCAATGGCTCTTCTTTAGTTGTTTGCTATGTTGACTCTAAAAATAACTGTAGTTTTAGTAGAGTCGTTCTTCTGGCTTAAGTTTAACGTATTCCTCACTGGCCTCCCACACCTTCTTAGCCAAGCCTGTATCCTGTACTATGGATGCTGCCTTCCTTGACACCTGCCAACAGAAAAGTTATTATACATGATGACCAACATGGAACATGTTTATTGGTTAGAGAAAAACAAGTGCTCAGAAAAGAATATGAAAAGGTTTGCTTCTATATTGATAAAAAGACTGACTAAACAGCTAAAAATACACACAGGTAATTTGTTCATCTTCTAAGAGTCACGACGGAATATAAAGCGATTTCAAGTTAATAAAACATTGACCCTTAAAGTGGGCCAAGCAGCACGGAACAAATTTGGAAAAAACAAACAAACAAAAAGACAATGTTGATCAAAAACAGAAAGGCTTTACTGCAGCCAGATACTACAGTCTGTGGTTGATGAGGTAAGTATGGAAGTCTCTTTCTTGATAAATTTAGATCACCTGAGAGCGACTGACTCACCTTACAATCCTCAAAAACCTTGCCAGAGATGTCAGCACCTTCCTCAGACACTGCTAAGTGGACGATAGTCTGGGCCCCTTGTTCCTCAGTCTGTTAGGGTCATGAATCAGTACTGTACTCTATTTGGTGACAGGTAAAATGGTCCCCAGTTCTACCGCTATGTAAGTTCCAAGATGTTTTTCACTACAACGGTAAAACAAAGTATATTTTTTTAGCATTAAAATGTCATTATTTTATTGTCTAATCATCATTACATACGACAACACCCATCATCATTACATATAACATCATCAATCATCACTACATATAACACCACCCATCATCACTACATATAACAATATCCATCATCACTACATATAACACCATCCATCATCACTACATATAACACCATCCATCATCACTACATATAACACCATCCATCATCACTACATATAACACCATCCATCATCACTACATATAACACCACCCATCATCACTACATATAACAATATCCATCATCACTCCATATAACAATATCCATCATCACTACATATAACACCATCCATCATCACTACATATAACACCATCCATCATCACTACATATAACAACATCCATCATCACTACATATAACACCACCCATCATCACTACATATAACAATATCCATCATCACTACATATAACAATATCCATCATCACTACATATAACACCATCCATCATCACTACATATAACACCATCCATCATCACTACATATAACACCATCCATCATCACTATAGATCGGTAAAGTAGTTTCCGAGATTCTCGTGCGGACACACACAGAGTTGGACGCAACCCTCCGAGAGGCTCCACATTGTCTCACTGTAGTGCATTAGGGTAGACCACATTTTTGGTTTTGCCATTAGCAGCAAGTATGAACAGATTTTTGCCAGTTCCCACTCTGGGGCATCCAACATAGAACTGTACATGAGAGAAGGAAGGAAACACTTGCTATCCATGCCAAGTTTGTTCTGGGCGGCTCATTCGCTAGGCCACGGTAGAACGCCACCCTCGGGGAAGCTCCACATGTCTCACTGTTCACTCCCCAAAACTTCTTCTTCTATCAATATTTCATTAACAGTGTATGTAAGTTCCACTACAACGGTACAGCAAAGTATATTTTTTTAGCACTAAACAGTTATTATTTTATTGTCTAATCATCACTACATATAACATCATCCATCATCACTACATATAACACCATCCATCATCACTACATATAACACCATCCATCATCACTACATATAACAACACCCATCATCACTACAAATAACACCACCCATCATCACTACACATAACATCCATCATCACTACATGTAACATCATCCATCATCACTACATATAACACCATCAATCATCACTACAGATCGGTAAAGTAGTTTCCGAGATTCTCGTGCGAACATGCAAACAAACAAACCCACCCACACACAGACTGGCGGCTCATTCGCTAGGCCACGGTAGGACGCCACCCTCCGGGAGGTTCCACATTGTCTCACTGTTAGTGTTCAGTCCCCAAAACTTCTTCTTCCATCAATAGTTCATTAATGGTGTATGTAAGTTCCACCATGTTTTTCACTACAATGGTACAGCAAAGTATATTTTTTTAGCATTAAACCTGTTATTATTTTATTGTCTAATCATCATTATATATAACACCACCCATCATCACTACATTTATAATCATCATCCATCATCACTACATATAACACCATCCATCATCACTACATATAACATCATTCATCATCACTACATTTATAACATCATCCATCATCACTACATATAACACCATCCATCATCACTACATATAACATCATCCATCACTACATATAACATCATTCACCATCACTACATATAACACCACCCATCATCACTACATATAACAACATCCATCATCACTACATATAACATTATCCATCGTCATTACATATAATATCATTCATCATCACTACATATAACACCATCCATCATCACTACATATAACATCATCATACATCATCACTACATATAACACCACCCATCATCACTACATATAACAACATCCATCATCACTACAGATCGGTAAAGTAGTTTCCGAGATTCCCGTGCAGACACACACACACACACAAATACACAAACATACTTCTTTGTTTTATATATATATATAGATATATAATAATAATAATAATAATAATAATAATAATAATAATAATAATAATAATAATAATAATAATAATAATAATAATAATAATAATAATAATAATAATAATAATAATAATAATAATAAAAATAAAAATAATAATAATAATAATAATAATTAAAATAATAATAATAATAATAATAATAATAATAATAACAACAACAATAACAATAACAATAATAATAAGTCATTATTATTATTATCACCACCATCATCACTATTACCATTATTATGTTGTGTTGCAATTGTGTGTAAATGGGGCAGAAAGTCAGATCGGCAACCTGGGACTTTGTCACAATTTCTGTGATGCCATATAGCAGCAGGGTCTACCATTAAACAACACATTATGCTTCCAATATCTTCACAGGCAGTAGTACCTCCCTGTTTGATAGCTGCCTATATGCTTAGGTTAAGATAGATTTGGTTACGTTTGGTCAGGGGCCAAGTGATCTGAAAGTGTCGACATTCAGTAAACATTTGAAATGAACATAAAAACATAAAAATGGAGGAAACTGCAGTAGGCATTATTGGCCCATACTGGAGAGTCCTGTTTACACCCAACCCCGATCGCTTATATGATCATCTCTCTACATTAACACGGCCAAACATGTAGACTGCAGTGAGGATGTACAAAATAAAGGAAAAAAAAAGGAAGATAAATGGGACCTGAAGGTAAAGTAGTTGAATTAAAGTTTGTGAGCAATGCGTTAAGGTAGTGACCTTTGGCCCCAGATATGATGCTAACGAAATTTTACACACACAAACACACACACACACAACACATACACACACTGGGCCACCAACAACCACGACACCATCAACCCTACCAAAACCATGGTTATGCACATCAACCTCTCCTCCGACGTTGTCCCATCCCCTTCCATTACTTTAGGTCCCAACACACTCGAGGTTGTAGATTCCACATGACCATTGTGGATTTGATCTCACCCTCTTCTGTATATATATATATATATATATATATATATATATATATATATATATATATATATATATATATATATATATATATATATATATATATATATATATATATATATATATATATATATATATATATATATATATATATATATATACCTTGTTATGTACTTTTCCTTAGTCTGTACTCACCCCTGAAGATGTGAATTACACGAAAGCGCTTGGGAACTTCGTATTTTCTTTTTCCCTGTGGTTATCAGTATATATATATATATATATATATATATATATATATATATATATATATATATATATATATATATATATATATATATATATATATATCGTGTGGTTTTTCAATTAACCGTTAATTATTATTATTATTTTATTACACACACACACACACACACACACACACAGACACACACACACACACACACACACACACACACACACACACACACACACACTTTTCTTCAGCCTAATCCTTACTGTATTGTATTGTACAAAGACAAAAGTCGTGTCGCGGTTTTGTCTGAAGATTAAATACAAATCGTGAAACATCATGAGAGCCCTCTACCACAAGGCAGAGCGCACCAAAAGTTTTAGCCCTTCGGCATGTGTTTTCACCATATTTCACGACACGACTTTTGTCTTTCATTGTGCATGAGGTGAAGTTGAACTAGGCCTTGCTCCGCTGACGAGCCTCCAACTGCTAAGATTAGCCTGTCAGCCTTCCCCTCCTTCCCCCATTTCCTCCCCCTCACCAAGATTTATCAACATTCTCCCACCAACAATACAGTGCAAGCATTCATTATCAAACCACAATTTATATACAAAAGTGACAATTTAAACTCAAAAGGAATGGAAACAAGTGCAAGACAGCGACAAGTCGATGCCCAGCGATCGGTGGTCACGGCCCATACAGCCCTGACTGCCACACTAACACAAGATGTGAAATTTAGACTCACAGCTACACCAGGAGAGAAACATGGAGTCCCAATTCCACCAGGTTAGAATTGAGAATTCCCAATAACATCAGATGAGAAACAAGAACCCTATTCAACGCCCTGTGAGCTGAGAGACCTAGGCTTCCAGGACCATGTGATAGGTGTGTAAACAGGTACAGTTTTGACCAGATACCAGGACTGCACCTAGGTGTGAAACCTGTACCACGGGAAGGCGCCACTATCAACTCGCCAGACAGTTACAAGAACCGGCTGCCCTGTGACCACCGAGATTAATAATTTTCTATATGTATTGTTACGAACCACGCCATCTATTGTCATGATCTACCTACCCAGCACCACGAGCAACGCCATCTAGGGACGAAACCCGAGTATGACTAGTCTTAGTTACCACTCCTGGGTTTCCCTTCTCCATATCCTGGTTGTTGCGTCACCAAGTCTTCCTCATCAGCTCCAGTTCGAGGAGAGTTCAGTTCACTCTGGGAAGTGACCACACTAGGATCACCTATCCTGGAAACCTATGGCACAGTGACTACCTACCATCTTCTTCAATACTCAGCCTTACTCGTCAGCCATCTCAGCACTGCACTTGAGTATTCTGTAATCTTATATTGCCTCCCACCTCCACTTGCTTCTGTTTGTTGTATGTTGTATAAATATGTATATACTGTTAAGCCAATGTTGCGTATGTTTAGGTTAAGTATGGTTAAGGGTAATTTATAAGAAGCTGAATATTTTGTTAAGGAATTTATGGTACTTTATTATACGCAACAAAAACTCGCATCCTTTGTCTCCCCTTTTATAGTCCGATTGTCTTTGTTTTTTTTATTGTTGTTGCCTGTTGGGATCTGGGTAGACTTTTAACTATATTCTAAATCCCCAACTCGTAACAGTATGTTCACTCATGTTACTTCTCTTTTTGTACTAAAAGCCTTTGTCAATCAAGTGACCCACTCCTCAATTTCACCATATGTAACTTTTATCATATTTGTTTACTGTATAGCCTTTTGGCTCCCAAGTTCTTACACACACACACACACACACACACACACACACACACACACACACACACACACACACACACACACACACACACACACTCTCTCTCTCTCCTTGAAGAGCTATCATGTTAACTATAAAGGCCTAAAATTATACTTCAATTTAGAAAAAGTAATTATTATGCAAATAACAAACAGTATACAATACTTCTCCATCGGTACCAGTATAAATCCATATATCTGTTCGATATATTTTATAATTCATATAATCTTCTTAAATATCTGCCATGATAGACTGTTATATTTATCTATTCACTTATACTACGAATAGGACTTTATCTGTACAAAGCTAATGATGTAATTGTTTTTCAAAATGTTCATAAGTAAATCCTCAACTTAGTCACATAAAAGGATCCACACAAACAATAGTTCAGCGGTCAAGGGAGTAAAAAAAAGTAGCCTACCCCTCCCGGTGGTACATTAAAGTACAATTTATCTTAATCGAAGCTCATGCCGCCTTCGTATTAATAAAAAATGATGGCTATAATAACCTAAAATCATACAACATCCTGATTTTACCCCATGGAGTCAAGTTGAGTTGGAATATTGGAACTCTCTCCTGACACTACAGCGCACATCCTCAGCCTTTATTGTTGATGGAATGGCAATGATCCAGGCACTAAATAAAGATAATTTCATGACTTTCAATGACCTTGCTGAAATAATGTTAAGGAGGATTTTCAGTATCCTAAGGGAATCCCACTTTTGGAGCCATTAGTCACACTCATCTTTGACCGGTATGACTGCAAGTTATTTATCAAGACTGGTGAATGTCATCGCAAAGGATCAGTAGCTACTGAAGCCTTGCAGACTCATCGCAACATTGGCAATAGATCTATTCCACATAATCGACAGTTTCTAAAAGTAGGAGGAAACAAATCTGAATTGGTGTTATTTGTCAGTGATTATGAAATTGCCAATGCAAAGGAAAGAATACCAAGTGGCAAGTGAATTGTAATGGCAGGAGTATTCAGGGAGGGAGAGGAGGTCATAAAGGTGTCAGTTGATGGCACAGAGACCATGAATGAGCGATACAGCACATAGGAGGAGGCTGACACCAGAATGATTCTTCGTGCCAATTGCTTCTCTCAGTTTCCAGGATTATCATTCGGTCTGACGACACAGATGTTCCGATCCTTTGTACTACATGAACCAGATTGACCAATGAAGTATTTATGCATGCAGGCCACAGCGGAGAAGCATGTTACCAGGGAGCGGTTTATTCCAATTCACAACATAACCTCTAAACTTGGAAATAATATATGCCAGTGTTTACCATCACTACAGGCATTAACAGGATGTGATTCTACAAATGCAGTCTTTGGTACTAGGAAGAAGACTGCTTATTCAACACTTTGTAACCTTATTGCTTCAGGAAATTTGATTTGGTGTCAATTGGACCGATACTTGATTAGTGATTCTGATTATGCTGGAGCTGCCATTGCTACTGCCACCTTAACTGACTATGGCATTATCACAAAGGATGACAAGAGTCAGGTTACTGGACCACATAAGCTGCGGGATGCGAGACAAAAATACCGATTTAAGAGGCAAGAAATTGAGATGGCTAGTTTAGATAATTTGACGTCACTCTATTTTGATGGTAAGAAGACCGCCACTCGTGTGATGATAAAGAATGAGAAGACCGAGAAATGGAGTTCGAGGATGATGGTGAAAGATCATTATGTCATCATGGTTGAGCCTGGCAATGAATATCTCACACATGTGACTCCCAAGACTGGACACGGAAAGCAGATTGCCAAAACTATTCACGAGTTTCTGGTGGAGAAAAATCTAACCCAGCAGCCCATTGTGTGTGTTGGTTGTGATGGAACCAATGTAAATGTAGGATCAGAAAATGGAGTCATTCATCATCTTGAAATGTTACTTGGTCACCCGCTCCATTATTTCATATGTCAGCTTCACGGAAATGAGCTGCCTTTCCGCGCAGTTTTTTATCACTATGATGGTAAACCAAGTGGTCCTGAGCATTGGCGTGGTCCCATTGGAAAGCAGATCAAGGAGTCTTTGTCTGAGCTTCCAGTTGTCGCCTTCCAGCCAGTCAGTTTCCCTGATTTCCCTGTGTTTAATGATGAAGTGGAGAAAGATCTGTCCTGGGATCAGAAATACCTGTATAGGATTTGTAAAGGAGTTATCACAGGTGTTGTTGAAGATGACTTGGCTGCTATTGAGCCAGGTCCTCCCTGTGTGTCAAGGTAGAACACCTTATGGAGTAGAATCCTCAGGCTGTATGTAGCAACATCAAGACCCAGCCATGAGTTGAAAGGAATTGTCATTACAATAATAAAGTTCAGTGCTCCAATGTGGTTTTACATCAAGATACACCCTTACGTAACACACGGCTCAAGGAACGTATTCCAGTCCCTGCTATATATGAAACACCTGAATAGTGAGGAGGAGACGATAGTGAAGAAGGCTGTCCAGAGAAATGCATACTTCGCCCACACAGATGAACTTCTTGGTATGTGTGCAGATGAGGACATGACTGTTAGAGAAAAAGCTGTCTCAATGATAAGAAAAATTAGAGAGGAGAATCAGCAAAAGGAAGAATGCACTGGCAGATCTGAAGAGGAGGAGGAAGATTCTGATGCTGCTGTTGACGAGAATTTGGTTAAACTATACTGATGAGGAGGGTAAAGATGGAGATGGGAATGAGGATGTGCCTCCTGTAGTCAACATGAGAAAGGTGGTGACTCCGAAACTAAAGTGGCAAGCAAAAAACTATCATTCCATGATTAACTGGAGGAATGAACTCAAGACTGAGCCTCCTTACATTGCTTCTCTGTCAAATCTACAGGTTAATGACATTCTTGAGACACCATTAGTGGTGCCCAAGTGGCCAAACAGCACTCAGGCGGTCGAGAGAGGCATAAAAGTGATGACTGAAGCTTGCACTGAAGTGACGGGATACGAATCGAGAGATGGATATATTAGGCAAAGATTATTGTCTAGGAAAATGATGCCAAGGTTCCGCACAAAAAAGAATTTCAATATGAACTTGTAATGATTTTCTATACGGTGTACCTGTAAAATAACATGTGAATTAAATCGATGTCACCCATATAAAATTTATCATTATCCTGGAAAACATTAAATGACACCTAATTTTTGGTATACACTAAAAGTTGACAAAAAGTCGTTCGCGATGCGGCAGGGTAAGTATGCATGAAATGGCATGAAATTTTGCACAGGTGTTTGTTACAGCCATACAAACGATGCCTGAAAAGTGCAGCCTGCAACTCAAATAAAAGTGTTTTTTCCCTGCCCCCTATAGTACATGTATACACAAGGTACAGTAAAGTAGGTCATACAGGCAGCACAACGATACAAAAGCCCTTCGGAAGTATATTCAGGTTGAATTGAGCATTTTACAAGTTATATCGTATGTTAAAGCTTAAACTTTTTTATTTCTAAATAATTTTACATTTACTAACTTAGTACAGTACTGTAACAGATAAAGGTGTTTTTTTTATAAGTTATAAGGACAGATACATCAGGAAGGGTTTGGTTTTCAAGAAGGTATCATGTTTTATCAGCTATGGTGTGTGTATATGTTTGTGTGTGAGAGATGGTGAGTTGGTTTGCTTGTGTAAATATATATTTTAGTGTATGAGAAGCGAGTTTATAAACTGTTTAACATCGGCAATTACTCTATGAACAACACTCGGATGGAATCTGTAGACATGAAAAAGGATCTGATCGATGTAATTGACCAATTTTCACAAGTAGTGAAACAAGCAAGTGGAAGCAGCAGCGAAAAAAAAATCAAAATTCATGGAATCAACAAGTGTACATTTGATTACAGAAACAAGACAATGACAACTATTCAGAGGAGGAGAATTATGTACAATTATTTCAGAAATATTATCTTCAATATTTAGGCACGATGATTGCTTTATGACTAATAACACTTCAAGCAAAACACAACAGGACACATTTCACAAAGGCCTTTAAAGTACCACGCACAATGAAAGATAAAACCCGACCTAAGTCATCTTGTAAGACAGGCAAAAGGAAGTATGTCTTCTCTTAAGAAGCAAAAGACGGACGGAAGAGTCTACAGTATTTAATGGAGCTGTGAAGCAAGACCTGGCTTCATTTCCCGTTAAGTGAATCAGAAATACTTACCCTTGAAGAAAGTGGAACGAATACTTTGAAGAGCTTGCCAATCATGAAGCCACTAGACTTGGTGAAAATTTCGGTGGCAACAAATCCCGGACAAAGTGCATTCACCACCACCCCTGCAACAAACGAGTGCACATTTACAACATAAAATATGTACTATCGAGTAATACCACATATAAAACCCATCCCCTTACATATAACTTTTTAATTACAGTATCATTACACCTTTTAAGTGCCTTATGTGTCCCTAGTTTTCGCATGATGTCACATACTCCCATAATGCAACACGATCCTCTGGCCGGCGCCATGTTGTATGTATAGAATCACAACTGTCACCAACAACACGCCATACTAGACGCGACGATTTACTACTGCAGCTTCGTTTACAACATAATAGTGTTATCCAGTACGAAACAAGGCGGTGGTGATAAAGAAAACACACAGGGATATATTGATTCGTTAGACACATCGTCACGCACAAGGTGTTTGGAGAAATTGATACTTGTTGACAATGAAGATCCGTACAGAATTCCCAAATCAAGATGATCGGTAAAGCCAGATACTTCCCCACCGATAGCGAAAACATACATTATAACTTACACGATTTATAGAAAAGGTGCTTATATACTCAATGAACTCAGGGCATACAAGTCATTAGATGCCGACAAATTTTTCGTCTGTGGATGGGTTAAAGCAGTGAAGTGTATCAACTTTGGTGATAAATTCTGCTATCCGGCAGAGTTCGCCATTCCCAGAGTATGAATGCTACACCATTGCAGCCATGGACAATTATTTGTGGAAGAAAATGTTGTTGATATGATATTAACTAAAATATATTCCGTATTTATTATGCCTACCTTCAATGAAATTGTCGGAACAAACTTTGGAATGTTTGGGAGACAACCACCCTCCCCTGTTTATCCTAGAATTCCACAAATCCCTCCTCTTTGTAGACAATTCCCGTGTTTTATCTCCTTGATTATAAATGTCAGCAGGAATAGTGTGGAATAATCGGGGCTTGTCTTTCTTCTTAGATGTATTGTGGACATCCGACAACAACACATTAATTCACCATTATCTAGAACTTGCCTTTACAAAGTAGGCGTGTTTGTTTATGATAGCGATCACTCTAGCGTGTAACGTCTATTCTTACAAGATGGCAGACCGCGCAAAGAATTATGGGAATTGTAACAGCCATGCAAACTATGAATAAATAAAACCCACTTCGGATAAACAGGGAACCCTATATGCTAATCTTAACTTCTAAAACCCTTTAATGTTAATAAAAAAACCTTTATCTAAAAATCAAGACTTCTTAAATAAAGTACAAAACCTTAATCCGTTCTAATACCCTGAAAACGGAATTGCAAAATTAAGTGGTTCAGAAACACTTAAGCCTATGCTATATACAATAAGTTATACTCATTGCTCTTGCATCACCTTCATAAGTTGGAAGAGAACAAACTGCTAAAACTTGTTCCTTACTTATTACTATAACTTAAAAATTAGACACGAACCAAATCTGACAAAAGCTAATGATAGATGATTAGGTTGGTTAGGTTTAGTTTGGTTGGCTCGAGTCGTCTGGAAAAAACTTACTGCTCGGTGATTCTGTTTGGTTTGGTTTGGTTGAGTTAGGTTAAGTTAGTTTACGTTACGTTACGTTAGATTGGCTCGAGTCGTCTGGGAAAAAAAATTACCGCTCGTCGATCCTGTTATTAGTATTATTTAACATAGACTGTTTTGTCAAATCTTTATACCGAGTCAACTCACCAGTTCCCTTCAACATCTCTGCTAAATGACGGGCAAAGAGAATGTTGCAACTCTTGGACTGACAGTAGGCACGGAACGATCCATAGTCACCGTTCTCGTATATTAGATTCTGCAAAGAAAAATACATTACACCGAACTAATTATTCTACAAGTGAATGTTTAACCCCAACCCAACATTCTCATCCTTTACTTACACAACCCATCTACATGATCCCTCAACAGCTATTTGGACTAACACGAACATGAGACCCAGGCAATTCAGTACAGTAATTATTTATGACACCATCTATGATATGGATTAATCACTCAACCCCTTTAAAGTTGTTTTAAAAACCTTCATTTCCAGTTACTTTATTATTTACACCGTAAGAAGGAGGTACTGACCTTCAAATCTAGTGTCTTCAGAAATTTATGGGCCATTGATGCAGTCACCACTATTCGGCTGGGGCTACTTTTTTTAAGCAAACCTAAAATGTGATAATGGAATAAATACAAGGTAAATAGCTATAAGAGTGAACTGCTTTTCGTAATAAACTACAAAAAACACAATAGTGACAGGCATCTGGCATTATTTTATGTGTTGTGGAAGGAGAGCGAGGCACTTATCACAGCTCTTCTGCCTGAACAAGACGTCTAGTTTTCTAATAAGCAGATATAAGTAACATAATGGAAAATAACAAGATACATACATTAAATATGATTATTGAGAAAAAATAACTAATGTAGCACACTGGTACATGATTAATTATTATTATTATTGAATGTTCCAGTACTTTTTGCACGAGCATCACAAACATATGATTATTTTAGCAAATAAAAATTTAATAAACTTAACCAAAACTATCCTGGCATTAGGGCAGGTCCAAGTGCTCTGCTTTGATAAACGTAAATTTTAATGGTCCGGTTCTTGATGTAATATTTTCCTGACAGTCGCCCTCTTGAAAGAGGCCTGGATGGCAGTCTCTTTTAAGTTATCTGTTCCCAAAATTATATGAGCACATTGATATCTGTTAAATTTAAAACTTGCTTACAGTTAGTAAGTTGATTTATAGTTAATAATTTAACAGCAGTCAACAACTACAAAAAGTTGAATTTAACAATTCGAAAGCAACTCATATTTATCAATTTAAAAGTATTTCAGTTACTAATTTAATAGTAAAAGTGAATTAAGAAGACTATAATAATTCTAACCTAAGAGAAGGTTAGCAAGGAGGAAGTGACCGAAGTGGTTGGTTGCCATGGTAAGTTCCAGGCCGTCCTCAGTCAGTATTAGGTCAGCCTCACCTCCAATACCAGCGTTTAGAGCCAACACGTCTAACCTGAAATGAGAAGTTGATTGACAGTCACACTAAAAAACTTACGGAAATGAGAAAAAGAGTTAATGTATAGTTACAAGTCTACTTATATCCTGTATTAAATATTTAGAAATAAAAATAAAACCACTCTGTGGCTTATTTTACAGGCCTACTGACCAGAATGATTATTTATGAAAAACTATTACTGTATGTTGATAATTGCAACATATATTCGACGAGTGACAATATTATTCGCAACACACGTGACATGTCCTAAAATATATGTAATATACAGCCATATGTATACTTCTACTTTGAATATCCCTTGTTATAATGGTCACCCCCTCCCCCACCACTGTACCTCCTGCAATAGGTTAACTCTGACAACTTATCTTTCACTGAATAATTTAATCTTCTATATCACAGTTGTTATATACTGCACGAGTCATTGTATGGTCTTTAATGTTTGAACGTTTTATGTAGGTATTTTTGTTCAGTATTTTTACTAAACAAAAATAATGCCAGAGCATAAATCATACCTGGGTTCTTCAGCGAGTATTTTAGCAGCAAAATTCCTGACAGAGGTGAGGGAAGAGGTGTCCAGCTGTCTCACCAACACTTGGCTGTTTCCTGTGCTCAATTCGATGTTTTCTGACAGAAAATACGCAACTTATATAATATTCTCATATTCAAATGTACACAGATACACACAGGCACATAAGAGCATATTTTACATACGCATGTATGTAAACATATTTGTCAGAACATAATACTTTCCTCATCCGTTTCTTAAAAATACAAGCACATATCCAAGCGCACACACACACACACACACACACACACACACACACACACACACACACACACACACACACACACTCTTTATTAACCCCTTTTCTTCAAGAATGAACACAGACTTTTTTTTATAAACCATATAACAGAAATCTTTTATTATATTTCATTGGGTGAATAATTACCAGCGACGTCCCTTGCTTTCTTGAGATTCCTACAAGCAAGAATGACCCGAGCACCGCGGCGGGCTATGTCTCTCGCTGCCTCCTTACCAATACCTGGAGAAACAACAGAAGCAGCGTAGGAGTATTGCTTTATAATAGTAAACACCAATTCTTGTTTAATAAGTACTGAAAATTTGTAGGGGTATGAAAATCGATTAATTATAAAGAAAAGGCTATGGTAAAGTATAATTGACTGGTGCGAGGAAATATCTATGGAAAGTTTGTGAATGGAATGAAGCAAACAGTAAGTCAACTCACCTGCAGACGCACCAGTGATGATGACAGTCTTGCCCTTCATGCTGGCCGTGGAGGTAACCCGACCGGCACTGCGCCTGTGTAAGTACCCCGACACCATCACAAAGGCAAATAAGGCAAGCACTATGTATGTTGCTATCCATGCTGAAGTCGCCAACATTCTGAAGCAAACAAAAAAATATTCATGATACTAGTTATCACTTATTACAGTAGCAAATTACACCACGGCGGAAATAGCAGCCAACAGGAGAGAGAAAAGTTGGAGGAAGGTGTGAGGTGTGTGAGGAATACGGGTATACGTAACTTCATCTCACGTAATGGAGTTATGAAGATACATCAGTCGCGTCGTAATCTTACAAATAACTAAGATGAGATAACTTTTGATAATTTCCAAAAAAATAAAAATAAAACGAACAGACACGAAATCTAAAAATCTTAAGTGGAGAGTAAACATTATGATAATTATTGAATAAATTACAGATGCCAAGTGCCACATTAGTATGACTTGTGCAAAACAATGGTCACTATACCACCGAATAGCAATCTATCACAATATATCCTTTAAGAATGTAGTTTATATGTATATTCACAGCAAAACAACACAGGCCTATAGATGTGCACGCACCAATACTCGTCAATATCAAAAGGGAATTCAACCATAGCAACACCGATAACCAAACTGCATACTCACTGACAACAATGGAACATTGACTGTTGGTTTATATACAAGATGTTTGAGAGCATCGATGAATAACAGAAATATCGTCTCACAAAGGCTGCCGAGCGAAACTAAAAAAATATAAATAGGAAATGGCCGCCGTGGATCGATGTGTTGTGGGGGGAAGAGGGACGGTGTGTTAGGAAAGACGACCCCCTGGCCACTCTCCCTAGCAGGACACCTGCGAAGGAGGGTCAGGAGGAGCAGGTGTGGAGAGTGGTTGTCTCCAAGGGGACTAGAGTCAGACTCAGGAAAGCTGACCAGGGTTTGGAGTGCAGTAACCCCTACAAAGTGTTGGAGGAAGCTGGCGAGGAAGAGAAGAGGCAGGACGATGTGGTGCCAGGAGAGAAAAGGGCAGTTGTTCAAACCCTGCCCAGTGGTAAGGTCGTGGTAGTTGGGGACAGCCAGGTGAGGTTCTTAGATAGGACTTATTGTGCAACAGATAGGAAACGTAGGACTAGGGTGTGTTTTCCTAGGGCTGGGGTAGGGCTTATAGCTGAGAGGATAGATCGGGTTTTGTCAGGGGAGGGTACCAAGCCAGTAGTGTGTCTTAGTGTAGGAGGTAACGACATAGGAAAGGTTAGGAGTGAGGAACTTTTCAAGAGGTATAGGGAGGCGCTGGGGAAGATTAGAGATAGGGGAGGGATCCCGATAGTATGTGGTGTCTTGCCTAGAAGAGGGGTTAGTCGTGAATGGCTGCCCAGGGCAATTGCTATAAATTGCCGACTGGAAAAACATTGTGCAAGCAATGGTTAGGCGTTCATTGATAATTAACTGGCAACCATTCTATGGCAACGACTACCTGTACAGTAGTGACAGAGTACACGTGTCTTGCGCGGGGGTTGAGACGTTGTCTGCATCCCTGGAGCGTGAAATTGTTACTCCAAAGGGGGGGTTCCTGCCAGTAAAGAGAGGTGGAGAAAACAAGCAGGTCCTGGGGAGTAAAATTAGTTCCTCAGGACAAGGGGTAAAACAGGACCAGGGAAGGTAGGTTTAAATGTATACTATACAAACAGTAGGAGCGTTAGAAATAAAATGGACTTGCTGGAGATGGTTGTATGTACCGAGAATGTATAGACATCATAGCACGCTTTTCGAAACCTGGCTAAATCTGGCGAACAAGAACTTTTATCAGAGTACCACATAGAAGGATACAACCTTTTTCACAAGAACAAGGGAAGGTAGGAAGAGGGAGAGCCGCACTTCCCTTTTCATCAGGGATACATTAAAATGTTGTATAATAATTCTAATATAGTGGTAGTTAGGAACCGAGTCTGTGTGGGTAGAAATTGAGGGTGAAGAGAAAACTAATTATGGGATTGATTTACAGGCCCCCTGGGTAAGTTTCGAAAGAAGCAGCCTACCCATATGGCAGTGGAATGAGTAGGGCAGCAAAATACAACAACTTGTGCATTATGGGGATTTCAACTTAGAAATATTGACCGACACCATTGCAGGTGACTATGAATCTGAAAAAACTTCCTAGAAGCAGTACAGACATTTTTTACAACAACCAATTACATAGAACCTACTAATGGTGACAATATATTAGACCTAGTATTAAAAACAAAGAAAATATTACTTCAGAGATATCACAATAGGGAAGAACTAGGAAACAGTGATCACAGAGGAAGTCAGGTCTGCACTTCTAAATTGGGAAACGAAAAAACAATGACGATATGATCAGAGTACCAGACTTTTGATCGGCGGATTGCGAGGGGTAAAAAGGTACCTAGGTGAGGTCGCCTGGGGAAACAGTCAGGTCAGTCCCCGAAGCGAACGGGTGAGGTCACCGGCGACAACAATTGACAACACTTTAATATATTCCACTAGTATACTATGTAAAAGCACAATAACAAACATACCATACAGAAAATTAGGTCAAATTAGAATGAGCCAAGGTGGATGACCCAAAAAATTAAAACATGACATAGGAAAAAAGAAAGGACTTTGCAAGAAATTGAACTGGAGGGAAGAAGCAGCTCAGAAATAGGTATAATGAACTATCTAGGAATGTTAAGAAAAATGTAAGGAAGGCAAAAGAGGGACTACGAAATCAGGATAGCAAGAGAATCCAAGCGCGAGTCCCAAGGATTTTTCCCAGGTATATAGGACAACAAAGGTCAAGGACAAAGTGAGGCCTTTAAAGTCAGAGAGAGAGGGGAAGTGATCGAGATAGTGAGAAAATAAGCAAAGCATTGAACAGCTACTTTATCAGTTTTCACATGAAGAAATTCAAGAGGAAATGCCAGAGGTGGAACTGGATATTTAGGGAAAATGAAGAAGAGAAAATTAAAGAATATCAGTATCAGAAAAGAGGATGTTCTTAAGAAGATAAATAAATTAAAGAAGACAAAATCCCCAGGGCCGGACGAAATTTTCCCTCGAGCTTTGAAAAAGTGTAAACAGATTGAAGAGACCCCTCGTAAATTTATTTACAAAATCATTGGACAAGGGAGTTGTGCCAGATTTGTGGAAGCAGGCATATGTAGTACCCATATTCAAAAAAGGAGACAGAGAGCATCATCAAAATTACCGGCGGATTAGTTTAACGTCAGTAGTGGGGAAATTTTTTGAACCATTGAGAAGCAAATATCAGCCAGTCGCATTTTAGAGAAAACAAATTAATCTACGACTCTCAACATAGGTTTACAAAGGAAAATCTTGTCTAACAACTCTGTTGACATTTTTAGGAAAGTCTTCGAGGTAGAAAGATAATGACGAAATTACGATGTTATTTACTTAAACTTTACAAAGCGTTTGACAGAGTACCGCATAAGAGACTTAGAAAATTAAGGCTCATGGTATCGGGGAAAGTTTTAAATTGATAAAATCATGGCTCATCAGATAGAACACAGAGGGTCAAAGTGAGATGGTTAACAATCTGAGTGGGGTTGTGTAACCAGTGTTCCATTAGGCCACTTGTTCAAAATCTACATAAACGATCTAGATTCTGGGAACAATATGGCATAAGCAAGTTTTAAGTATTTGACAATTCAAAATAGGGCGGCAGATTGATTCAGGTAGGGATGCAAATGCACTACAGGAGGATTTAAATAAACCTGCAGGAGTGGTCAGAAAAAGTGGCAAATGAATTTCAACACCAGTGTGCAAAGATGCTGCTACTCTAATAGGGTGTGTCATAGAGGGAAAGATCAGCTAAAACTAATGGCCCATCACTTTTGGTAGATTTTATGTGTATAAAACAGAAAAATAATTTCAGTTTCCAAATATTTTGCAACCTTTTGCTAGGTAAATTTTAGCGTGAAATTTATCGAAAAATCTAACGTACAGCTGCATTAGTGCATAACAATTAAATAGTGAACATTGCTTTCTGACTTCATTCTTAACAACCCAACTAACAAATATTTTTTTTCTGTTTCAGATTCTGATGCATTTATAAGTTGATAATATTTTATGAAGGCTGCTTAAAAGTCAGACGAGGAACCAAAAATCCAGCCGTATCTCAGTCACTATCTTGGGTCTGGGAGAGAGCTCCTGAAGTCGGAGTTGCTTACATTGAGAGATGCTTTATACGGTGTTTTAATCAGCAAATCAGTGAAAAGAACCAAAGAACCCGTACAAACAAAGACATTGCCAGTGATATGACCAAAGCTGTCTTGGCACAGTACACTCTGGCTAACGCCTGTCTGGGCCTCCAGTCATAACAACAAGTCAGAAGAAGATTAGTGCAGAGACTGCTAGCCAAGTTGGGGAAAAGGCAAGAGATATCTCTTGGGAGAGGAAAACTTGCAAAGTTATGACAGCTTTGCCAAGCAACTGACCAGTTATTTGACATAATTACTTGCAAGTGCCCAATTGTTCTCTGTCCTGAGTTTAGATGCGCATCGTGACTGTAGAAATCCGGAGGCCCACATCTCCTGTATTTGCAAGCGTGAACTGAAGATTCCTTGTGATCGAACTGGCATTTGTCAAAGCACAAGAGAGAGAAGACTGGCAGTATAGGCTCTCATGATTTCTAGCCAAGATATTCCGGAGTCCAAGAGACAGGAGGCTGCCACAGAGAGACAGAAGAGGAGTAGAGTTGCCGAGGAAAGACTTGAGAAGGCCCAGGTGAGGTAAAAAGGCCGATGATTGAGTCAAGCTGATTCAGAGTTTAATGACTTCCCACGGCTGATCCGAGTGCTGACCAGGAGAATTTGGTGACTTTGTCCCTAACCCAGAAAAAATAATGATCCCAAACCTTCCAGCAGGCATAAGATTCGAAATAGGAAAGATATCCTGAGCATAGCTCTGGCCAGCATGCGACACCACACTGGTCTCATAGAGAAATCGCAGAGACAGCAAATAGCTGCCTGGATTGACGGTGGTTTGATAACACCTGATGATGTTCACCTGGTGATAGATCATAACAAAGTAAGGAGAGCTCAGGAGAAACTTGTCAGTAACTCCAGAAGTTATAGTTTGATAAGGGAAAATGGAATCAAT